CTCTCTCTCTCTCTCTCTCTCTCTCTCTCTCTCTCTCTCTATCCATCCATCTATCTATCTATCTATCTATCTATCTACATCATGAAAAAGAGTACTTGAACCCAAATAAATCCCTCGCCGTACATAAACACACAGCCAAGCAACCGATTAGATCAATTTATCAACCATTAGCCACACTCAAACTCATTCATCAGAAATTAGTTCTCCGTAGGATCAAAAAGAAAAGCACAAAACAGATCCAATCATCGGCAAAAAGGAAAAGAATAATCCGTGCCAAAGTAAAAGCAAATGATCAACGAAACACGACGTACAGACTCCTGAATCTCCCCTTTGACAATATAGAACGGATCTTGAGCAGCAGCCATCTCAGCGCATTCCCCGAGAGAGATCGACCGACCCCTCCGTTCATACACCAACTTCTGCAGCCACGAAACGAACCAAGGTCCACGGCACAAGAATTAGCACCACAAGAAAGACCAGATATCGATCAAATGCCAAAAGCCAAGATCTACGCGCAAGGGCATTCGACGCAAGACCCGAAGAGGATCAGATTGCTAAGGATTCGGGGAGAGAGAGAGAGGAGCGAGAAGGGTGACGACGGAATACCTGAAGCGTTGGAGGAGCAGCTGATGGTGTCGATGAATCGAACAGACGATGCAAAGAGACGAAGATTTGTAGAGGGTGTGGGATTTGGACCGTGACGTGGACAAATAAACCGGGTCGAATTCTCTCATACAAGAACTTGACATTTAATTGCAGCTCGGTTCACGTGACGTCATTATCATATATAATATGAAAAAATTATTACCTCATCGTATTTTACTCCAAAGTTAAAAAGAAAATGAGGATTATGACATCATTTTCCTTTTTTTTGGAAGTAAATACTGCACAAAATAAAATAATCGACCACTCAAATCGTGCAATATTAAGACATGAATAGTTAATATCATTAATAGAAAAAAATTTCAATATTGAAGGGTTCGATTGTGCTCATTGTTTTGTTTTGGTTTTATAAAACTTGGAAAACATTTTGCTTCCGGAAGAAGATTTAAGCAACAAAGAAAACGTTTCTGAACGAATGGAAAGGGGAGAGAGAAGAGTATGGAAAACATGTTTCGCACTGCAGCAACAAGCGCCGAAGAGGAGCCCCGAGAACACCCGGCGATGGAGATGCGGGCGCGCGAAGAGACGGGGTTGGCGCGAGACATGACCCCACCCATTCCGCCCCTCGCCGCTGCCCTCCACCGCTGCTTCCTTCCATCCCGTTGCTCCGCTTGCTTCCGACCACTCGATTCCTTCCTCCCCTGCGCCGCCTGCCGAGGCGCCTCTCGCTACTGCTCTGCCGCCTGCTCCGCTGCCGACTCCTCCGCCCACGCCGCCAGCGGCGAGTGCTGCCTCCTCCGCGACCACCATCCTGACGGCGACACCTCCGACCTCCGCGCGGCGCTCCGGCTCCTCCACTCCCTCGAGACACTAGGGATGGGGATTCTCCCGCCCGCTTCCCTCCCCGACCAGCCGCGCCGGATCGCCGGCTTGCTTGCGAGCGATCTCGAGAAGGTTCTGGAGGAAGGAGGGGAGGTGGCGGAGAGGATATTGGAGGGGGCGGCGCTGATGTCGCTCGCGAGGGGTAGGGGTCGATCGCGAGAGGCCGACTTCGACGGCGGGGCGGCTTCCCCGGAGGTGGTGCTCTGGGCGGTGCTAAGGAACTCCGTGGAGGTGCATATTAGCGAGGTCGGCGCACTCGGGGTCGCGGTTTACGGCCCGGGCTTCTCTTGGTTCAACCATAGCTGCGTGCCCAACGCTTGCTACCGGTTCGAACTGGGTTACCGTTACGGAGAACCCGGTCCAGTTACGCCGGAATCGTTTCTTGCCTCGTCTGCTGCGGCCGGAGTGGCAACAGATGCGGTACGCTGTTCGATCACTTCTTTTGACTCCTTTTATCTTCCTCTGTTTCAGGGAAAGATGATTTCTTCTTTTGAGAATATATGTTTGTGGTGAGAGTGATGTCGAATTTGATGTTGGCTGCAGTGGAATGCATGGATTTATGGTGAAAGCAGATTGGCTTGTGGTGAAAATTTTGTTTCCGCCTTGCCTTTATCTGAAAAAAAGGAGAAAAATTTCTGTCAATTGTATGAATATTTTATATAGTTTCTTTATTAGGATTCTCCAAATTTGGGCCAAGGGTTACTGTCCGGAGCATAAAGCCAATCATGAAAGGCGAAGAGGTTTGCGTTACGTACGTCGACCTGCTACAACCCAAGGTATAGTTTTTTATATTAATATTGTCTGGGACCTGGCCAGTGTGATGCTGAACTAGAAATGATCATGAACATCGTACAGGATTTAAATTGGCTAGTTTTTATTGCTTATCAATGTGACTTTATCCTAAACAAAGAAGTTGGAGTTGCAATCTTGAATAATTGATCATATTCAAATTTAATAATTTGATTCAAGCTTAAATTAAGCTGCTTCTGTGATTTTTTTTAGCTTGCCACGAGCTCAGCTAGATGATAAGAGTAATGTTTTTTTAAGTTCCCAGTTCAGACCCTTGATCCGTTTACTACAGACCGTGACCGGGCTTGATCAGGTGACAACCTTACTGTAAATATTGACACCAGTAAAGTACAGATCTTTTCTTGAATATAAATATCTTCCTATAATCCCCTTGCAATTTGCTGTGCAGCTCCTTGTTTTTTTCAATGCTGTGCAGCTCTGTTAATTGTATCTTCTTTTCATATATATGGAAGATAATCTAAACCTTGGATTCCTAATTTATTTTCACAACAAACAGTTATGGATCTCAAAAATCTTAAAAGCTCTTTTTATTTTTGAGTTGCTTTGGTTATTATATAACATTTGTTTCCTAATCTATTTTTGGTATCGCTCTTTTTCATCTTATATTAAAGTTCCTTTGTGTATCGAATTTGATGTTTGACTTGTTAAATTATATATAGTCTTTTACATGTAATTATGCATGGAGACCATTTATATTAGTGTGCTTTTTCTGTTGGTATTCATTTTTTCTTCTGGTGCTACATCTTTTCTGCTATTTCTTTTTTTTTTCAAATTGTTTGGTTCCTCTAATGTTTCTGTTTACAGGTCGAGAGACAAGATGATTTGTGGGAAAAATATCGATTTGTTTGCTGCTGTGGACGATGTGGTGCATCATCACCATTATATATGGATTTTGTTCTGAATGTAAGAAACCAAGCAAATTTAAGGATATCAACTTTTCATTTGCTTCTCTTTTTTCTTTTCCCATTTTGACTGTATAAAAGCAATAGTTCCAGTATTAGCATCCACTTTTCCATTATTTGATATTGTTGAAATTTTCCTTTTCTGAAGCACTATGGCTGATCATGAAACATAAACTGCACATAATTTGTTAGCAGGATTATGTCATTGCTTATACTTATACTGGTTCTTTTTATTAGGTGACTTCTTTGTACAATTTCAAATGATTTTTCATTACATAAAGATTTCTTAAACATTCAATTTACATGCAAGTTAAATATCATGTTTAAGCTGCAAGAACTGATTGGTACGGTTCTTACAACTTGAGCCTTAATTTCTTTACCAAATGATTTCTTTTTCTTTTTTGCAGTTTTTTATGTTGGTATTAGTTCCATTCAGATTACGGGCTTTGATAGTCATGTCCTTGTAAAAGATGTTCTTGCAATCAGGAAGTTCTATCAGATTCCTCAACAATGGAAACATACAATTCTTTTTGATATATTGCTTTCTGATGCATGCATCACATTTGCCCTTGCTCAATTGCTGGGCATGTAAGTGAGGAATAGTGTAACCCAGCCTTAGATTCTTTTGCATTTTCTAATCTAGATAATTCTCATAGGTTTTCATATTAATGATGTATGATATGCATTGTGGTATTTGCAGAAGTCATTACATGACTTATCGTAAAATTTATTTTAGGAGTTATTTTGAACTAAAGTACTAATGCATAACATTTGAAACGTCATCAACAACGAGCCCCAGCTAATTGGGTTTGGCTACGTAGCATTTGAATGGTGGACGAGCTTAAATCTGTGCCAGTTAAATGATCTTTGTCAAAGAGATGGTCAAAGAGAGAGGTAACTGGAATTTAAATATTAAAACAAACTTGAATCTAATTAACCATAATTAATTTAGTGCAACCTGCTATAGTTACTTTATTAGTGCGCTTTGAGAAATGTGGAAATGTTGAGGAAAAGCACCATTATAACACTTTCGCAAATGTAAACCATACTAATTCACAAGATGATCTTACTAATTTTTACTCAGGATAGGCAGTGTAGATGCGGACGAGTTGCATAGTTGAGTGAAATGGCTTCATAGTGACAATTGGTAGCATGCTAGGAGCAAATCTTGAATGCTGCTTTTTCTAATTAAAGTTGGTAGTTTCTGAGTTTCACTATTATTTGACTTTTCTATTTATAGAACCATTTGTTCACAATTGTATTATTGTTACAGTGTCTGAGACTTGGAAACTTATACACAGACTTATGTAGATCTAACGCAGTAAATGTTGGTTTCTGGGATATGTTGCTGTAAACTAAAGTCCATGTTGTTCTGTATCCTTGTCAGTGATATCACAGAGACAAGATTACCATAGTACAAATTTCCAAATCTCTGTAGATTCTTGAATTTGTTTAGACAACCAGCCTCCATGTGATTGATTTCTAATTATTTCGGTAAATAAGAAAATTTTAATACCATTGGTTTCTCTCTTAAAAATCTAAACATATCATTATCACATATATCAATCGTAATAGATTTGTTAATAAACTAGTGCCATTGATATAATCTTGTATCTGATTCAGCAGTTTCTGATTGGTTTTCTCACTGATGCTATACTACATTCATTGCAATCCGTAAATATGTAATAATAGATACACCTTAAACTTCTTGGTAACTATTGATGAATGTGGAATTCAACAATGAGTCTTTGTTAGATTGAAATGTGTGGATTTGACTTCAGATCAGTGTGATGCTAGGGAATTGAGCCTAGACAACTGCAGTAACAGCACAGATCCCTGTTGTGAAGAATTTGCTGATATACTAGATCAAGCTATAGCTGATTACACATTAGATGAGAATCCTGAAGCTTGCTGTGAGAAGCTTGAAAGCATGCTTTTCTGTAGCTCTCAAGACAAAGAGTTTCATGCTGGAGGAAGAATCAAATTGCATACTCTTCATCATCTTCCTCTTAATGCATACATCACCCTGTCATCTGCATATCGGACACGTCTGTTCAACTTGCTTGCCATCTCTTTGGATGAAGGTAACAATTCTGAGGCCTTTAAGATGGGCAGAGCTGCTGCATCATACTCTTTGCTACTTGCTGGCACCGTGCACCATTTGTTCTTGTCTGAACCCTCCTTGATAGCAACCACTGCACATTTCCTTGTAAGTGCAGCTGAATCTACATGCGGCATTCTTAGAATTCCAGGGTGGTCACTAAATGCAAATCAATGCAAGTCAGACATTGACTCAGTATTATGTCATTATCAGAGTATCATGATGGAACATTCATTGGATGAGTGCAAGGCAACATCAATGAGGTTTCTGGGATGTATTTCAGAAATTCTATCAAGAACCTGGCCGTTTTTAACTGAAGGTTTGCCTTACTTGGAAAGCATAAACAGCCCAGTAGATTTTAGTTGGCTTGGTCCGAATGTCATAAATCCTCAGTGTTTTGCCAATCCGAGAGGGATATCTGACTTCATTAATAAAGATCGCTCTGGGTGTAGACATCATGAAGATATATTCATCGAAGACAAAAGGAGGTTCTTGTTTCAGCTTGTTGTTCATTGCTTCGCTTACGGTAGATATCTGGCAAGCATATGCTATGGACCACAATGCAATTTGGCAGATCATGTAGAGATTATGCTTCATGGTTTTTTATGATTGTTATTTGATCCATTGACTATTCAGAAGACCTTTTCACAAGCCATATTATTGTCTTTACTGTCACATATACAATTAACTAATTGTGTATGTGAATCTCGAGTCATTACTTGGTCAGAAATGAAATATAAATTCTTGGTGCAACTCTGTTTCTATGACTGCACATCCGGATGACGTGTCATCCAAAGCTCTACTGTGATGGCATCTGAAATGCTGTTGCAAAACGCCGGTCAGGAGGTGAGTGCCAAAAATCTCAATGCACTTTTGTTCTCATCTGTTTGAGTTGTCTGATCAACCCTTATGGTTTTGTGCCAGCATTAACACAAGTCTCTCTGCACTCAGACCGCCATCAACCTGTCACTTTTATAAGTCGACTGGGTGAGGAAAACTGAAATGAGGTAATGATCTTCTGTGATTTTACTGTCATTCTGGTTTGAAGATAGATTTGTGTTCTTTATTAATCATGTGGCATATCTGTTTTGTGATCAACTTGAATTCACTAATATGAAAAGGTTCACTCTTAAGTCATATCTGCTTGTGACATGGTCTGCATCAAACAGGTAAATTGTGCTTGAGAATAAGACTATTTTGGCTACAAGTTCTTGCAATCTCAACATGGACAACAGATTTTGCAATGTTTGAAGCTTGGACTAAGTAGATATACACATACACATACATATCTCAAAACGAATACTTATCCTTTGGAGATGGAATGAACATTTTTGTTCATCCTGTGCATCTCTCTCAAAAACCTGATTTGTGAGACCACAATTAACATAGACAGTCCAATGTTGAGACATTCGGATCGATTAATACATTTATCACACAAAGTGATAGGTTTTGGAGTTCATGAATATCATATCATGTACTTTATATACTCTGTTCCTCTTTTGTGTTCAAAGTAGTAATTTGCTGAGGTTCCAAAAAAAGAAAAAGAATCATACATTCAGAAATTTTATTTTATTTTATTTTTTGGTTAAGGCTCATAATATTAAAACTTAAAGAAAATTCCTTGATAACACCATATATTGTAATTGTAAAATCTAATCTTACCAGCAGTGGATCATAAATCAGATAATTGAGATTTGCTTTATTTTTTGTGTGATGGAGATCATGATCTTTCCAGAGTCCAACAAGACTCGTCGTGATGACTAGGAAGCATAACGAGTTCAAGACACCCACACAAGCAACGGAAAGGGCAGAATACGGTCGCTCTGTGTTGAGCCGCAGAAAGCTCGGCTCCCCGCGAGAATGCTCTGCCTTCCTCGAGCCCAGCATGAACGAGGCCCGGAATCCAGATCGTGGAGCGCAGCAGTTGTTCGTCGTCGCCTCCTGCGCAACCAGATTTCTCGATTAGAGGATTCCGACGAACACGGTGGAAGACGACACAACGGCAGCGTACTCACCACCACCAGCAGCCCCCCCCTCACGTCCTCCTCTTGCTCGCCATGGAAGAAGGGTTGCCGTCGAACAGCTCGTCGATCAGATTCTCCAGATCCTCCGCCCCGAACTTGATGTACTTCTCCGTCTGCCTCCCCGGGTCGAGGTACTGC